AGTTGCAAATGTAGTTCTTGTAGGTGGCAGTAATTTGATGTCTGAGCTGGAGATGAATGATGAGCTGGGGCTCTGTGATCACACCTGCTCTGTTACAGACAGGAGGGAAAGCATGAGAGGGTGGGGCAGGAACTGCTGCAGAGGTGCAGGGAACCCAGCTCCTCACAGCTGACTCTCAGGGTGACAAATCCCTTTTCTCATGCCAGCAACAGCAGGGCCCTGCCTGGAGAGGGCAACTGAGGTTTTCTCCTCTCTGTCAGGTGCCCATTGTATCAACCTCTTAGACTTATGGTGCATATAATTCAATCAGAGGTACATACAGTACCCACATAAGCTTGGTCACTGCAGGCACTAGGGAGAGGATTATTTTGCTGTATTTGGCTCATACTTCTGCCTTAACCACAGAGGTGGCTTCACTGAAGTTGGTTGTGCTGCATTAGCCCAGAGCAAAGCCCAGCATTTATACATTATTTGCAATAGAGGCATCATCATTTCTCTAATGCTATGTCCTGAGCATGGCTGAGGTTTGCTCCAGTCTCCCACTAGGAAACAATGAAATGAAGACAGAAAGGAATACTCATCTTTTTCTCTTTTTACATATATATAACTCAGAACTATTAGCAGACTTCTGTTGCCTTATAGTGCTGTATAGGAGCCTTCCCCTATACTTGCTAAACTAAACAGGAATAATTAGTTGATATTAAGCAGATGCTCAATAAATTTTTCTGTAACTTGTGCTGTACGTGGTTTCAGGAGGGAGTTCACAGCTTGTGGGGGTCCCCTCCTTCATCTTTTATCCACTGTACACTCTACATTTGTATTGTTAATGGCCCATATGGCTGTGAAGGAAAAGGGTGAATGATTTCATTCTGTCTTGCTTTGATTAATCCCAAATTATGGATCAAGTCACCATTAATGATGGCCCTGGTGATTTATGAATGGCAATTGTTATTCCTGCTGGTCCTGAACAGTTGGAAACTGTCAGGTGCCATCCTGAGCAGCTGGAGCGTGAGCATCCCTTGGCACTGATGACAAGGTGTGCAGGGATGTGTGAAATGGCCCAGCTCTGCACAGGTGAGCTCAGGGAACACCTGCACGACAGGGACAGGAGCTGCTTTCTGCCAGTCACACATGAATTTATTCATTTCCCAAGGGTGGAGAGCAGCCTGCCACTGAGTGATCTGAGATTCAAATTACAGATTTTATTGCAGAAAGACTTCCTCAGTTCTGGTGCCCTCTGCACCGACATAAGTCAGGGGTAGGAGGATTTCCTCCTGAAGTTCAGGGCATGTCTGACCCTTATGTTGGTTGAATGTAGATAATGACTGAACCATTGAGCTCTCAGACAGACTCCACTTGTTTGGGGCTTTGCAGCTCTCACAGTCTATCAGCTAACAACAAAAATATTCCAATTATTTGGAATGATGACATCATCCACACAATTGACCCAGAGCCAAGAATAGCACTCCTACAAAACAGTTATTTCTTGTTAAGCACTATCAAGGACAAGTAAGCCCAGACTTAGCTCCCTCAGCAAAGCCTGGTTGTTTCCCCCATGTTTCCAGATCACCTCAGCAGTTGTGTTTTCCAGTTTTGAGCAGCTTACCCTGAATGACCTGGATTTGTTTGACAAAATGTGATCATTGCTTGTAACTTTTGAATTTGGAATAGTCACAGGGAGGCTGTAAGTGGCTCGGGGAAGGAGTTTTGGCACATCTCATCTAGTCCCCTCACTTGCAGAGCCCTCTCTAGCACCCTAAATCCATATCTGTTGGGTCAGAAAACTGTGTGAGCTGGCTGAGCCTCAGAGTCATCTGCTCATGGCACAGACTGGCCCAGGGATGGAGGGGAGGGAATCCTAATCCGTGCTTGGTGATGGGGTGCTGGCTCAGCCCCAGCCCTGCCTGGCTGGTCTTCCACCCCACTTCCAGCCCTGCCGAAATCCCTCAGCCCACAGAGGTGTGTGGGCAGGTGAGGGTTGTGAGGGAGCAATGGCTCCTTCTTGAGAAATCAAGGGTGATGCAGGGACAGGTGTGTGACATGGACCAGTGCCGTGACACCTGACCCGGGGCTGTTCAGGTGTGTGACATCCCCCAGGGCAGTGACACCACACCCAGGGCCATACAAGTGTGTGACATGCCCTGATGTACAGGTGTGTGATGTGCCCCAATGTACAGGTGTGTGACGTGCCCTGGTGCGCACCCAGGGCCATATAGGTGTGTGACATCCCCCAGGGCAGTGACATCACACCCAGGGCTGTTTGGGTGTGTGACATTCCTCCTTGTACAGGTATGTGATATGTCCCCCTGTACAGGTATGTGATGTGTCCCCTCGTACAGGTGTATGACATTCCCCCTGTACAGGTGTGTGACATGTCCCCTGTACAGGTGTGTGACATTCCCCCTGTACAGGTGGGTGACATGTCCCCTGTACAGGTGTGTGACATGTCTCCCTGTACAGGTGGGTGACATGTCCCCTGTACAGGTGTGTGACATGTCCCCTGTACCGGTGTGTGACATTCCCCCTGTACAGGTGTGTGACATGTCCCCTGTACAGGTGTGTGACATTCCCCCTGTACAGGTGTGTGACATGTCCCCTGTACAGGTGTGTGACATGTCCCCTGTAC